GCTTTGCATTTGGTTGCTGAACGTCCATTAAAAAAAAAAAAAAAAAAAAAAAAAAAGGTCAAAACCGGTTTGGTTCAGTGGATAGAGCATCGACCTGCAGACTGAAAAGTCCCGGGTTGGATTCCGGTTGAGGGCATATGCCTTGGTTGCGGGCACATTCCCGGTAGGAGGTGTGTAGGAGGCAGCTGGTTGATGTCTCTCTCTCATCGATGTTTCTAGCTCTCTCTCCCTTCCTCTCTGTAAAAAGTCAATAAAATATATTAAAAAAAAGAAAAAAGATAGATGGAAACCATATTGCTTCCATATTTACTAGGAACATTAGGGTTCTGGTCTTAGCAGTTGTACAGTCACTGTCACCTCAGGTTATCTGGCACGAGATATCCCACATCCATCTTCCACTACACTCCTAGAATTGTGAAAGGAGGTGAGGTTTTCTTATCTGATAACCTGTGTGCACTTCACAGATGGGTAAAGTGAGACTCTGAAAGGCTGCGAGTTAGAGCTCCTGCTTCGTATGCTGTCATGCCTGGTTATGCAAATTTGAGCATTTTAGGGGAAAAAACTGCACACAGGCTGCTTCTTGGATGTTTCTAGAGATGGGTCCTGAGGTATTCAGAGCATTCATGACCTAGAGCCGTGAACAGCAAACTGTGGCTCACGAGCCACATGTGGCTTTTGGCCCCTTGAGTGTGGCTCTTCCACAAAATATGACAGCCTGGGCGAGTCTATTTTGAAGAAGTGGCATTAGAAGTTTAATTTTAAATATTTTTTTATTGACTTTATACAGAGAGGAAGGGAGAGAGAGCTAGAAACATCGATGAGAGAGAGTCATCGATCAGCTGCCTCTTGCACACCCCCTACTGGAGATACGCCCGCAACCAAGGTACATGCCCTTGACGGAATCAAACCTGGAACCCTTCAGTCCCCAAGCCGATGTTCTATCCATTGAGCCAAACTGGTCTCGGCAGAAGTTTAATTTTAAAAAATTTGACTCTCAAAAGAAATTTCAATCATTGTACTGTTGATATTTGGCTCTGTTGACTAATGAGTTTGCTGACCACTGCTCTAGAGGAACGGAAGTGTCTTCTATTTGCTGTGCTCTGCAGATAGAGTAACTCTGGCATTTTGCTTTGACAAAATCTTGGAAGGAGATGGATCAATTTTTATAGTTCCTGTTCTAGCAGAAAAAGAAGCAAGACCCAACCCTGTTTTACTAAGATCCAAAGTTTGGATGCACAAGTGGTCCTAAGATTTCCAATTGGCCCTTCGGTATCACTCTTTAGGAATTATATGTGGCGGAACTGAAGGTCCACATGTAGATCACCAGCTTATTTTAAAACAATGTAACTCGGGCATAGCCAGGTGGAAGGGTTACTTGGGGCCAGGTGTTGGGAAAAAAAAACCAGAGCTCCCATGTCTTCCAAGCGTGCCACACCCCAAATCTCCACATGCCTACCAACCTGGAAGCTCCCTGAAAGTGTTTGAAGTAACTAAAGTTCTAAGTCCTTTTTTTTTTCCCCATTAAATTATTATCTGTGTACATATTTTAACATTGCCCCTCCCTCCCATACATACTCTCCTCCCCAGAGTTTTGTGTCCATTGGTTGTACTTATATGCATGTATACAAGTCCTTCGGTTGATCTATTATATCCCCCAGATCTCCCTACCCTACCTGCTGTAATTTGACAGTCTACTTGTTGCTTTACGGTCTCTATATATCTATCTTTTGGTTCATCAGTTTATAATGTTCTTTATTATCCATAAATGAGTGAGGTCATGTGGTGTTTCTCTTTCATTGACTGGCTTATTTCACTCAGCATGATGTTCTCCAATTCCATCCAGGTTGCTGAAAATGATGAGAATTCCTTCTTTTTTATGGCAGCATAGTATTCCATTGTGTAGATATACCATAGTTTTTGGATCCAATCATCTGCTGACGGGCACCTAGGCTGTTTCCAAATTCTAGCGATTGTAGATTGTGCTGCTATGAACATAGGGGTGCATATATCCTTTCTGCTTGGTCTTTCTGGTTTCTTAGGATATATTCTTACGAGTGGGATTACTGGGTTAAATGGGAGTTCCATTTTCAGTTTTTTGAGGAAACTCCACACTGTTCTCCACAGTGGTTGCACCAGGTCTGCATTCCCACCAGCAGTGCACAAGGGTTCCTTTTTCTCCGCAACCTCGCCAACACTAGTTGTTTGTTGATTTGTTGGTTTTGGCCATTCTGACAGGTGTGAGATGGTACCGCATTGTTGTTTTGATTTGCATCTCAAGTTCTAAGTCCTTTTAATGAATTTGGAAGCATTCTTTGTATTTGGGAAGTCCTGTGTTTAGTTTTCTTTTCATATCAAAGATGAAATTAATCCTTAAAGATATGCTAAGTGCTGCATTCCAGTTGCTAATGTGGATGCTATTAGTGCTATTTTTTTTTTTTTAACCTACGTAGAATTGGTCCATGTTCACATGGCAACACCTTCCACCACTTGTCAGAAAATGCAGATGAGTCAATGTGACCAAACTTACCCTCCCTCGTGAATAGGGCTCCAGCAGAAATGCTCTGAGAATCCATCAGTGGAAAACACCATCCAGGCTCACATTTTAGTCTTCCTTTCTTGACACAAACTTAATTCATTCTATTATTGGTCCAAGTACCATCTCTTTCCATTCCTGGCCCCTTTATTTTTGCTCTACTTAATACTATTATGTGGTGTTTTATCCATCCTTACAAAAAGTCTTAAATACTTCCTGTAAGAGTATGAAATATAAACAAAATTTCCTGGGTCTAAAAAAAAAGGATCGTTCTTGCCATTGTTACCTTTATACAGAGCTTGGCTCTGGAGCACAAATGGAAAGAAAAAAAGAACAAGCAGCATCTTGCACCAGCATCTCCTACAATCCCCATTTCTTTGATATGTGGAAGACTGATGGACAGGCCTGCATTCGGTGTGTACTGGCATCACAACTCAAGAACCTTGCCACCACACTCACCCCTTGGCACTGGGATCTGGGTACTTTCTGCAGTGTAGATGCAGAATTAGTGGTCAGTAGAGCAGGCTTCTCAGTGCTGTAGGTCTAGTATTAATCAGGTCTTTCCAATCATCTGTTTTATCTAGCTCTTACATGCCCAGGCCAATATTTCCGCTGCCCTGTATCACCCCAGGACCAGGTACTGGGAAACTAGAAACTACCCTTACAGCCCAGAGTCTGCTGAAATTATTCAAACCATACAATCCTAATCCTGCTCAAACTTATCTATTCTGCCTCACCCATTCCTTTCTGCAGACACCACAGCATAGGCCCTAGACCATGCCCATCCCCTACCCCCTGCTCCTCCCCAATTCGTTCTGCCTCCTGACCCACCTTACGCTTCCTGGTAGTCCTGCAGTGTGGTTCCTTCTCTTGGAAACTGCAAGTACCAAATATTTCATTCAAGGCAGTTGTCTCCAAGTCTGTCATCTTCACATACCTGATTAGAATACATCCCTCATACATTTAACACATGTTCATCCCCTTCTTCAGCAAGGAGAGAAGCAACCTGTACTCCTAGGAAACTCTCCCCACACAATACACACCTTTTGAAGGCAAATGGATCACACATGTTACCCAAATATCAACATGCCTAGAGCATCTGCCTGTGTCCTGGGATGCAGTCCCTTCAGTGGGGCCATTGGCTAGCAAAGGCAGAGCTGTTTGGTGCCATGTCTCTGCTGGGGCACTGCATCTGGTCCCAGATGCCTATAGAGAAAACAGCATTGGGGGCTTGCCAGCAATGCAGAGATGAAAGCAACGCTTCATTTCGAAGCACTTTACAAAAATAGAAATTATGTTCCAAGTTCTCCGTGCTTTATCTTAACCTGTCTCTGATTATGTAAAAATCATTTTACTTTCCCCAACAGCTCCTTAACTTGTGCCTGAACAATATTTATGACCTCTTTTCTTTCTCTGAAAGGTACATCACAGTCATCTTGCACTTAGAAAAACTAGATAGCACTTTACCACCCTACTTGGAGGCATTTTTAAATAGTGAAATCACCATCAAAAGACACAAAATCATGGAAAATGTGGCACTAAGTGAACCACAAAAAGCAGTTGTTTACAGTATGAGAGAAAACAAGAAGGTAGGGCACTGCCTTGTCTGAATTTAACTAAGATGTGTGCATTGTGCCAAAACCAGTTTGGCTCAGTGGATAGAGCGTCGGCCTGCAGATTGAAAGATCCCAGGTTGGATTCCGGTCAAGGGCATGTACATTGGTTGCAGGCACATCCCCGCTATGAGGTGTGCAGGAGGCAGCTGATCGATGTTTCTCTCTCATCGATGTTCTAGCTCTCTATCCCTCTTCCTTACTCTCTGTAAAAAATCTATTTAAAAAAAAAAAAAAAAAGATGTGTGCATTGCATGATTCCAATTTTCATTTCTCTGGGCATATCTAAGAATGACTGCGAAAATGCCCCAAGTATTGATTTTATGAAATTTTAGTGAACTCTGCTAGTGTGGCTCAAATGTTGGATGCACTAAAACGTTGCCAGTTTAATTCCTGGTCAGGGTACATACATACAGGGTACAATCCCAGTATGGGGTGTCTGTAGGCAGCCAATCAAGATTGTGCTCTTACATCAATGTTTCTCTCTCTTTTTTCCCTTTCTCTCTCTCTCCCTTCCTCTCTCTGAAAATTAATTTAAAACCTTAAAAAAAAAATCTAAAAATATGGAGTCCATAAATAATGAGGATCAACCTTATTGTCATCAATATAAAAGGTTTTTATGCACTTTCCACAGGCCACCTTATTTTCCACGGTACCAGTAATAGCAGGGCTGAAAGTGGTAACTGGTGTAACTCAGTTGCACATCCTACAAAGGCTTTCCTGTGAAAAACTAGAAATGACTATGTTTCTCAAAGCAGAATTTCCATCAGGTGCAGAGCTGAAGCCTCACACCCACTCCCTTTGTGATCATTAACAGTCATCTCAGTCCTTTCTGTCACGTCCTCTCTCAGCCTTCAGTTCCTGCTCTGCTTCTCGGAGCTCCCCGTCCTGTCCTGGGGTGAACTCCCCGGAAGGGCCCTGTCATCGTCCAGGTCGTCTTCGCTCACCAACCCCCACGGATAGTTCTTGGGGGAGAGATCATCGTCCACACGAGGCTTAGCCTTCTTCTTCCTTTTCATCTGTCTTGTCAGCTCAGCCACCTGCTCTGGCCCCAGCCATGCTGGGCTCTCGCCCCGGTGTCCTTTCTCTTTCCTTTTCTTGTACTCCATGATCTGCTTGTTGAGAGCCTCATGATCGATCCCACACACACTCGAGTGCATGGCAGGGCCCAGGGCGTCACATGGCGATGGGGCATCTGGGGCCGCAGGGTCCCTGGAAGGGAGAAGCACAGATGAAGCGTCAGAGCAACTTCATGAGAGATCCTGGGCCAGTGCTTCACCTTCCCACACCCATGGCCTCCAAACTGTCCTAAGACCTATCTAATGGAAACTGTGGAGGATAGGACAGTGGGGGTTTGGTTTTGGCACTCTGAAGCCCAGGACCACTCAGCCAGCACTCTTGGTGCCTGTGTGTGGCATAGGCCTTGACAATTCTGATACAGCCATTGGCATGGTTATTAGACACATGTTCATTCCTCCTCCCCCCATTTACACATGCCCAGCACACTAGGCCATATTTGGGGCAATTTCCTGATGCAAACTCAGTTCATTCTATTATTGGTCCAAGTGCCACGGGAGCTGCTGCAGGCCACTCACACCTTGCATCTGCCCGAGAACTGAGCACACGTCCACATGTATCACCTGAAGTCACTTTGTATAAGGTCTTCTTCATCAGGGGGTCCAAGATCAGCAACTGCCAGTAACCGATCCACCTGAAAAAGAACGAGGGCAGTTCAGCAACCACACCCGCAGTGCTGTGTCAGAGCTCTGTGCACCCTGCACTGGGCCATAGGCCTTTCGTGTGCACTTACGTCACTTTTTACAGCAATACTTTACCAAAGACGAGCCCATACAATAGCCAGTGCTTTCAAACACCTGTTATTTTAATAATCACATTTTCTTTGATGATGAGCAGTTTTTAAAAACCATTTAAATTTGCAAATGTTAATCAAATTTATGAAACAAATATTAATTGAATTATATAAGTAACTGCATTGAATTACATAACTTCTGTGGTTTTTTTTTTAATAAATCTTTATTGTTCATATTATTACAAATGTTCCTTAATTTTTCCCCCCCTTTATAAATAACTACTGTTTTGTAAAATGCTTGTTTTGCCACAGGATTTGTGCTTGGGGGAAAAGCTGGCCAGCACCGAAGCAGCCTTCCTGGAGCAGTGTCCGCTCCAGTGCAAGCCCAGACAGCCTGTCACTCTGGAGCAAAAGAAAGCAATGTCACCCAGGGACACTGATAAAAATTATAAATATGCAAAGAAGCAGAACCAGGAGCTAAATTAGTGCACAGAAAACACCAGAAATAAGATTGACACAACAAAGACAAACTGGGAGAGAAGACTCCAACACACACACTCACAGAAACTTGGACCAGACATATAACTAGTCTGTACAACCTGAAGATAAGCAGAAATAAAAACAGGATTAGCCCTGGCCAGTGTGGTTCAGTTGGTTAAGCATCATCCCATGCACCAAAAGGTCACTGGTTTGATTCCTGGTCAGGACACATGCCTGGGTTGTGGGTTGATCCCCGGTCGGGGTATGTATGGAAGGCAACCTATTGTTGTTTCTCTCTCTGTCTCTCCCCTTCTCTTCATCTTTCTCTCTGAAATCCATAAGAACATATCCTTGAGTGAGGATTAATAATAATCTTTCTATATAAAAGCCTAAGTGACTGTTCGACCAATAGCTATGATGAACACTGTCCACCAGGGGGCAGATGCTCAATGCACAAACATGGAAACATGGGACAGATTGATGAGTCTCAGGGAGGAGTGGGGGAGAGGGGAGGGTGGGAAGAGATTAACCAAAGATCTTATATGCATACTAGAGGATTCATGCACCTGTGGGGTCCCTTGGCCTGGTCTGCGCCCCCTCGCAATCTGGGACCCGTCAGGGGATGTCGGACTGCTGGTTTCAGCCTAATCCCTGCAAGCCAGGCTCAGGGACCCCACTGGTGCACAAATCTGCAACAGTAATAATAATAACCATAGGTGAATTGCAATCCAGGAAATGAGAGAAGATGATAAGCACAAGAGGGTAGTTCTGGCTGCCTCAAGTTTATAAATCGAGAACTGGAGATTGGTTCACTTAACTCTTAGTTAAGAGTTACAGAGATAAGCATTAAAAATAATCATTAAAGCCCAGCTCAGCTGATGTTGTTCAGTGGTTGAGCATCAACCTATGATATAGGAGATCATGGTTCCATTCCTGGTCAAGGCACATGTCTGGGTTATAAGCTTGATCCCCCATAGGGGCAGTGCAAGAGGCAGTCGATCAATGATTCTCTCTTGTCATTGATGTTTCTATCCTTCTCTCCCTTTCTCTTCCTCTCTATATTTTTAAATAATTAAAGCCCTAGGCAGGTGGCTCAGTTGGTTGAAGTGTCATCCAGTGTACCAAAAGGCTGCGGGTTCAATTCCCAGTCAGAATTCGTAAAGAGGGCAACAGATTGATGTTTATCTCACATCAACGTTTTCTTATCTCCCCCTTCCTCTCTCTCTGAAATCAATAAAAACATAGCCTGGGGTGAGGATTAAAAAGAAAACAAATTAGAACCAGAAAATGAGGTTACATCTGGTGACTCAGGCTGGGAATGAGCATGGGAGTTTGTCTTTTCATTTGTACCCTTTCAAGTATTACTTTGGTAAACTGTAAGCGTTACCTTTTTAGAAACCTCCCCTATGTAAAAGTTAACTTCATAAAGTCTATGATTTCAAGGTCTCACCTCAGCTAGAGCTGCATGCTGTTTGTCCTGAACAAACACTAGTGGTGGCACGTTCCTCAGTGTCTGCTGGGACATCAAAAGATGCCTGGAGAGAGACAATGCAGATTAGTGCTGTGGCAGGTGACATTTACAGGAGAGGTGTGAGAGTGCCAGAAACAAAAATGTGTGATAATCTTACAAAGACATAAGGAATAAGATTTGCTTATCACATTATTCAAAAATGAAAATGTTAGCCCAGAAAGATCTTTAGCCAACTGCACATTACAAAAGGGATAAGAAATGCATCATCATCACAAATGTTTTTAATTCTCTAGATGCAATTATTTATTGAGATCCCTGTAAATAAACTGACCTAAACTTAGAGGCCCTCGCCCTAGAGGTTTTGCTCAGTGGATAGAACGTCGGCTTGTAGAACAAAGGGTCCTGGGTTTGATTCTGGTCAAGAGCACGTACCTTGGTTGCAGGTTCCTCCCAATCGATGTATTTCTCTCACATCAAATATTTCTCTCTGTCTTTCCCTCTCTCTTAAAAAAAAAAAAAAAAAATCAATGGAAAAATATCCTCAGGTGAAGACTAATAAAAAAAATAATAAACCTTCATGCCCTCCTGGGCATCACTTTGGCCTTGGCCTTGGTCTCCATGGTTGGTCACTAACCACCCATAAATATTTCACCCTCTATCCAATGGACTATGCAATGCACCAACAGTCCCCAACCACTCAGGTGTCACACAGAAGTGATCTCTGTATTATTCAGCCATGTAACAAGCAAATAAAAGGTAAATAAGGATGCAAGTATCCAGTGAAAATGTGGCTGTGATATGTAGTGTATTTACTCAGTGACAGTAGATCTAGGTACATGGTTATGAAAAAACCTTTACACTAAAGCCTGGCTGATCAGAGTTGGGAAAAGGGACATTATACTTTAACTAAATTTTCTAACTACCTAAAAATCAATTAGAAAACAATACTGTTATCTAAAATTTCTCATTTTCTTGTTTCCATTAAATGTAAAAAATCAAATTAACTGACCATTCTTTAGTACACACCTTTACAGACTCTGAGGGATTACTGTGACAGGTGTCAGAGATCACCATGCAAGAGAGCTATACAGATGATGTGAAAATACCAGCTCCTTGTACAACTGACTTCTCAACATATGCCCCCTTCTCCTGGCAACAAGATGATATAAGATGAAGGTGAGAGCCACAGAGAAAGCAGAGGGAAACAGGAAGGAGGGATTCCAATTGTGAGTGCTGGTTGGTTGGGTTTCTGGACTTTTTTTTAAGCCAGAGAAGAAAACTAAATACTTCTTTACTATCACCCAGCTCACCAGTTCTCAAAACTTCAGGATTCCTTTACACTCAAAACATTACTGAGGACCCCTTGTTTGTATGAGTTATATTCATCAATATTTACCACACTAGAAATTAAAAATATGTATTTAAAGTAATTAAATTAATTACTAAATTAACTCATTCTAGTGAGTTTACTTTAAATGAGTTAATTTAGTAATTAATTTAATTACTTTAATTACTTTAAATGACTCTAACCAAACTGGCCAGAGCCATCTGATAAGTCATGCAGGTTCAATCCCTGCTCAGAGCACATACAAGAATCAACCAATGAATGCACAAGTGGAACAACAAATCGATGTTTTTCTCTCTCTTTCTCTTTCTCTCTCAAAATCAATAAATAAAAATAAAGTAAACCCACTAAACATTCACATAGGCATTTTTAGTGGAAAATTACTTTTATTTTCAAAAAATAATTACTGAAGAGTGGTACTGTATTAGTTGCAAATTTCTTTAAAAGTCCCACTTAATGAAAAACAGCTTGATTCTCATATTTGCATCTGCATTCAATCCAGATCGAGCTTGCAACCAAGGCATGTATCCTTGACCAGAATGTAACCCAGGATCCTTCAGCATATAGGCTAGCACTCCTGTGAGCATGTGGGATGAAGCTAGGATGACTACAGGTCCTCTGGTGGCTTCAGTGCAAATGTCCACACAGTGAAAAAAGAAAATATTTTACTATGAAAATAGCTTTAACCTCATGAATCCCCCAAAATATATTAGGGTCCCCTAGGGATCGAGGATGACACATTGAGAAACTCTTGCCTACATTATGGCTTATATGAAAATGTAAATTATACTCTGAAGTTCAAGACAATGCTTCCAGCTCTGCCTGGGTAGCTCAGTTGATTGGAATATCATCTATACACCAAAGGGTTACAGGCTCAATTGCCGGTCAGGGCACCTACCTAGGTTGCAGGGTAGGTCCCCATTTGGGGTGTGAAAAGGAGAGAGATCGATATTTCTTTCTCTCTCTAAAATAAGTAAATAAATAAAAACAACAAATCTTCGGGTGAGGAAAAAAGAAAAAAAGAAAACGCTGCCGAAGCCAGTTTGGCTCAGTGGATGGAGCGTCAGCCTGCGGACTGAAGGGTTCCAGGTACGATTCCGGTCAAGGGCATGTACCTTGGTTTCAGGCACATCTCCCGTGGGGGGTGTGCAAGAGGCAATCGATGATTCTCTCTCATCGATGTTTCTGGCTTTCTATTCCTCTCCTTTCCTCTCTGTAAAAAAATCAATAAAATCTATTAAAAAAGAAAAAGAAAAAAAAGAAAGAAAATGCTTCCAAAATTTCCCTCAAAAGCAAAAATACATCACAAAACGGGCTGGGAAATTGCAGGTGCTGCAAAAGCAAACACACTTGGCAAGCAAAGCATCCTCACCTCATATGTCCTGAGAATCGCTTCAGAGTGTCCTGGGTGTGTGCATTCTGCTCAGCAGAGCCAGTCGTCCTCCAGTACACACGGCAGGCGGAGAAGTCTGAAGTCAAAGACACCTGACACCCCCCCACCCCCCACAGCAAAACCCTTTCAGTTTAAGCGGGTTTTCCGCAAACAATGCACAGGAGATGGAAACTAACGAGACAGCATGTCCACCTTCCCAGAGCGAGTGCTCCAGCTGCACTATCACAAGCCACCGTCTCCTGTGCACACTCTCACCTCCCCAACCCAATCACTGAAAACATCTGAGCAGCCACTTTTCTCCTCACTACTTCCCTTTGGCTAAACTCTAAGTGGACAGATGGCAGGAAGTCACCTCCTTCTTCTTTGCTCTGAGACAAAGGCAGGCATATCAACTTCTCATCTGACCCACAGATCTTTGAATGCTCTATGTCATCAACACCTACCATACACTTGGTGCTATCTGGTCAGATTCCTCCCTTCCCTGATTTTGCACCACAATCATCTCCTCCATCTGTCTTCAGTACTTAAATGGCCACCCTTAGCATCACTTCTACAATCCAAACTAAAGACCTAGTGAGTAACAGTTAGGCCAGCAATCCTCAGTCCCATTTCTCGGTTTGGCCCCGCAGTCTACCTTGGACAGCTCCACATTCAGGTCATAGACCTCTTGGCTCACTTCAGGGGTGCACAGCAAATCGCTGAGTGCTTTGTAGAGGAGGCCATTCAGGGCCCTCAGGCGCACGTGGTCTTCCTTCCTGGTTTTCTTTGCCGTGCTCTTTGTTAGGAGTTCCAACTTGGATGGCTTGTAAGTCTGCATTAGGAACACATTAAACTTGTATAACTTATAATAAGGCAGCTGGGAAGAATTTAAACACCTTGATAAATAAGAAACAAATGCTACACTCAACCACCTTAGCTTTAAGATAAGTTTATTTTACAGAGCTGGATCCCTCCAGAATTTACCTCCAAGATAAGAATTACTGCCCATTCTTTCCAGTTTGGCTCTGTTGATAGAGCGTCAGCTGTGGACTGAAAGATCCCAGATTTGTTTCCAATCAAGGGCATGTACCTTGGTTGTGGGCACATCCCTGGTAGGAGGTGTGCAGGAGGCAGCTGATTGATGTTTCTCACTCATCGATGTTTCTATCTCTCTTTCCCTTTCTATCTTTATCTCTGAAATCAACAAAAATATATTTTAAAGAAAAAATTACTGCCTTGCCTGGTTTGGCTAGAGGATAGAGTAGATAGAGTGTTGGCCTGAGGACTGAAGGATCTGGGTTCAATTCCAGTCAAGGGCACATCCCAGTTTTCAGGCTCAATCCCAAGTAGGGGGCATGCAGGAGCAGCTGATGATTCTCATCATTAATGTTTCTTTTGCTCTCTCCCTTCCTCTCTGAAATCAATAAAAATATATTTTTAAAAAATTACTGCCAGCACATATTTTTCAAGAAAAAATTTTACTGAAATATAATCTACATATTATAAAATCCTCCCTCTTAACATGTACAATTCAGTGGTTTTTAGTATACACAGTTTATTTTTTTCTCAGTGTCCCCAGCGTCATTAGTTACATAAACTTTTGCAACCTATCTATAAGTATGTGTGTTTTATATACACACATTAAAAACTAAATGGCCCTTGCCAGTTTGGCTCATTGGATAGAGTGTCAGCCTGTGGACTGAAGAATCCCACGTTTGATTTTGGTCACAAGCACATGCCCTGGCCCCTGCTGGCCGAAAAGTGGGTCTCATTGCCACCCCCTTGGAATGGGAGTCTATGGAGAACCAAGACTGTACAGGAGAAAGAGAACTAGGCGGGGGGCTCAATAAAATTTGTTTTCCTGCAAAAAAAAAAAAAGCGCACATGCCCGGATTGCACACTTCCCACTTGATCCCCAGTGGGAGGTGTGCAAGAGGCAGCCAATCAATGATTCTTTCTCATCTCTAATGTTTCTCTCTCTCTCTCCTTCTCCCTTCCTCTCTGAAATCAATAAAAATATATTTAAAAATTAAAAACTGAATGAACATTACTATGTCAGAATTTGATCACAGATATGACATTCTGAAAAACTTTAGTGTCAGTAATATTTTTTGAAGGTCCAAATTCCATGTTACCAATTCATCCAGTCCCACCCCTACAGACTCTGTCCTCTCCAATATGGAAATGCAAGGACTGCCAGGCTGGAGCTTTGCCGAATTCTGGAACCTCAAGCCCATCAAGGCTGTGAAGGTGCTCACACTGCCACTCTACTTACCATGTGAGAGCCCAGGGAAGGGCCTTCATACCAAAACTTCTTTCTTTGGTGAGAAAATAAGAATTATGTTAGACACTGATAGCAAATGAGAGAAAAGTTACATATGCTAACTTGAGCTTATGATACCAGAACTATTTCTAAGGAGCTAAACTTAGACACTGATATTATGAGACTGGGAATCTACTGAATTTGACAACAACATGGACTGCAGGGGAGAGAGAGAAGGCAGTTTCAATTCAACCTCATAATTTTTTTGTAATGTTTTTATTGATTTGAGAGAGAGATGAATGGAGAAGGCTATATGGAAACATTGATGAGAGAGAGGCATAATTCAGCTGCCTCCTGCATGTCTCCCACTAGAGATCAAGCCCACAACCTGGGCATATGTCCTGACCAAGAATGGAAACAGTATCTCTTGGTTCATGGGTCAGCCAATCGATGATTCTCTCTCATCATTGATGTTTTTATCTCCCTCTCTCTCTGAAATAAATAAAAATATTTTTTTAAAACCCCAAAAACTGCCACAGTAAAGAGATGATGATGATGACCATATTACCTGGTCCCTTAATGGGATACTGGAACAGAAAAAGGACACTAGATAAAACCTAAGGAAATGTAAATAATGCATGGACTTCAGTTAATGATAACATGTCAATAGTGGTTAATTATAACAATTGTACCAGATTAATAATGTAAGATGTTAAAACAAGGGTATGGTTTTATGGAAACTCTGTACTACCTATGCCAAATTTTCCATAAATCTGAAACTTTAAAAAAGTAATCTATTAAAACAAAACAAAAAATACCATATATCTAAAAAGTGGTATAGGTATTAACATACTTCATTATCTCTATCTCTTACTATAAAAATCTATCCTGACAAACTTTCAAATTTATTTCTCAAATTAAGCCCACCTGCAAGGAAAGCATTAATATGGACAGAAAATTTCTAAAACATTTCTAATGTTTTTCTAATTTTCTTCTCTGATGAAATCGCTCTTCTGAAAAATGCTACTGGTAACAAGAATCAACATAAACGTATAATATACATCATTTTGCTTCACACTACTGGCAATTTTTAGGAGACTATTATCTCCACTGTAAAAGAACAGATAAAAGGTTGGGCAAGAAAAAGGCAAATGTTAACGAAGTGAAACTGCTGGTGATCTTTCAATAATCATTCATTTAACGAGCAAAGGCTGCACTTGCTGAAGGGGTGCCGTGGACCCCGCCGTCCGCGGAACCCAGCGCCGTGGGCCCCATGCCCGCCCCGTGGGCGCCGCCGCCCACCCGTGGACTCCACGCCGGCCTCGTGGACCCCGCCGTCCCTCCGCTGACCCAGTGGGACAGGCACCACCCCGATTCCTGCCCCTCCCTACCGTAAGTGAACCGCCCCCATCCCTCACCCCCCATTGCCTTACTTGGTTTTCGAGGCAAATTTCTTGAGCAGGTTCTTGCCGCAGGAGACTGGGGAGCCATGCAGGTCTCGGACACCGCCAGGAAGAAGCCCCGTCTGGCGGCCGCCGACCACCACCCAGAGCCCCGCAGGGTGTCCCCACAGCCGGCGGGCCGCCACCCACATAGTCCCCGAGAGAGCCCACGGACAGAGCACCTTGAGGTGCAGCGACGCGGGGCGGGGCGACGTGACGTGAGGCGGGGCCACGTGCCGCGGGGCGGGGCCCCGAGGTCGAGTGGGAGGAACTTGAAGCCGCGGGGCGGGGAAACTTGAGGTCGGGCGGGGCGGAACGTAACATGTGGGGCGGGGCTACGTACACGTGGGGAGACGTGTATGCGGGGTGGGCGGGGCGAAGTGGGCGAGGCGGGGCCTGGAGGGCGGGTAGGCAGGATGAGAAGGGGCAGGACGACGCGCGGTGTGGTGACGTTATACGGGGCGGAGTGACGTTGGGTGGGGCGTCGCGGGGCTGGGCGATGTGCGTGTGCAGCTGTGTGGAGAGCGCAGGACTGGTGACGTGAGGGGCGGGGCCTATGGGTGGAGGGGCGGGGCCTATGGGGTGGGTGGGCGGGGCTTGAAGCGATGGGCCGGGCCAGACGGCCTAGTGAATTTTTACCTCTTGGACGCTCACAGGCCGGAAGACGACTGGGAGTACAGTTTATGTAAACTCAGGAACCTAACAAGCAAGATCGCATTGCAGCTCCGCTGACACAAAATAGCAAGGGAAGAGAGCAGGAGGGTAAAAGCTGTCTGCTTGTGGTTGGGGTATCCTGGAGTGGAGCCCCTCATGTGTCTGCCTGTGTTCACTGCCCTACCTTTGCGCATCCCTAATGTTTTCACCAGGTTCAAAAGGAGGCACACTCCTCTCCAGTTCATCGGCACCGCCATACTGGACCTCCCTATCTCGCCTGCGTTAGTCGCTGGCACATGGGGATGCTGCACTGCTTGGTCTTGTCCCCTACTAGTCAGTAAGCCCGCCACTGTGGTGATTTGTTTTCTAAAGTAGCTCTAGCTCTTACAACAGGGATGGCACTTAGATGGGGCTCATTGTGTTGTCGGTGGCTTGGACTACATCAGGTAATTAGACTGGTGGGGTTAGACCTGCCCTGGGTTCAGCAACATCGGTACTTGAGTTCTGGCTAGGAAAGAATTCAGAGCCAAGACTTAAACTATCACAGAGGTAGAAGAAGCAATTTAAACAAGTTCTAGAGGTCAAGGAAGGACCCCTGGGGCTTAGAAGTGAGGAAGGTAAAGGTGTGCACATGGAAGGGTTAGGGGGAGGGAAAGGTGCGGGAGTGCTCCCAGGAGGGAGAGCATGTTGGGTCTTCTGTCCTAAGGGTTTTAAGGATGGAGTTCTTAGGAAAGGTCTCAGGGGAAGATCTCAATAGAATATTCAACAGCTTTCCAGGCATGTCCGTTCTGGGTCAGGGACTCCACTGATTGGTCGGCATCAGGAGAGGGGGTCATTAGTCAATGTAGCTGGTCCTGAGGTCAGTTTTGCTGCTTTTCTGGGCCTGGAGATGAACTACAACTAAGGCCTAGATATTATCTCTAGGGAAGAAAGGCCAGGGTTCCAAACCCAAGACCAGTCTTATGGTAGGGAGGAAAGGTCACTCTGGGGACAAAGTCACCCTGGTGAGGAGGTCCCACCCTGTAGTTGTCCTTTGCTAGGCATCCAGGGCTTTCTGCCCTACTGACCTTCTGTACCTGGCCCATCGTTCTTGCTCTCCTCACGTCTGTCTACTGCCTACCACAAATAGTCATTGCTTGAATGATTGAAAGAAACAAATGAACAGGGATTAGAATATGAGGAAGGCTACCTAATCCAGGAAATTATGAATTTTAACAAAATGGAAAGCAATAGCCCACTGAAAAATGCACAGACCTAGCCCAGGGTTTTAATCCAAATTCAAATATTTGCAACTTCTGGATGTTAAACACATAACTGTGCTCAATTTCATTATGAATGTTGATCACTTCCCTCATAGTGCTGCCTTGAGGATGAAGTGAGAATGCAATTAAGACATCAGGTTCTCACTAGATGATCAGTATTGTTACTATTCTAAGTTTTTCAGATGAAATGATAGTAAACCTACCTACGTATTGGACTTGAACATAAATACAACACACACACTAATATTTTTCCCATTAGCCATATTATGAGAAAGCCATATTTCATCCCTCTGCTTTCTCAGCCCACATAAGTCATTTAAGTAGCACTTCATTAGGAATGGGAAGGCCATTGAGAGAAGCCAGGATACTTTCAACCAAATTTTCCATTATCTGCCATCTAGCTTGATGAGTTGCACTTCCAATGTGAGGTGTCAGAGTGACATTCTTCAACTTCAACAAAGGATGGTCTCTGAAATACAGATGGGGAAAGCTATAGGAGGCTTATAGCATACTCTAAATTACACCTAGGTGTGACACCATTCATCTAACCCTAGTATGAGGAACCTTACATATTCTAACTGCATCCAGGCCATTAGCACATAACAGCACAACAAACATGCTTGGTGGATTCAACACTGGCCCACAAGACAGAATAGGGCATTAGGGTCATAGGTGCTGGTCCAGGGTCATAGGACAAGCAGAATGCACCTTTAGTAAGGAGTGGCATACAGAGGGAAACTAGCAGATTAAAGGGAGTTCTCTCCCAGGAAATAAGGCCAAGGATGAGAGTCAGCCTGGGAAGATGAGGTTTTAATGAAGTGGGTCAGGCAGACGAAACATAACGATGGGTAACACTAGAACCCAGCATCGGGAGAGGGCTGTAAGACACTTACCAGGTTCTCAATAGATGATCAATATTGTTACTATTCTAAGTTTAGTAACTCCAGGGACTCCTGACTATTTTATAGACGGAGGCCATAGTAGCCATGTGACCAACCTAGCTATTGAGGTTCAAGGGGCACACACTTGGGATCTATGGACCCCAAAACCTATGGAAGCTCTTTGGGGGCACTTGTCATGATGACTGCCCCAGTCCCCAGGACTGATCCACTTAAGCAATATCCTGAAGTACAGCTGGCAGGGAGAAGAACTCTTCTGAAAACACTTATCCTCCCACAGGCAGGCGGTGGGCCCTGCTATTTGACAGCACACGTTAGAAAATACAGAGTGACTGGCTTTGTCCTAACTGATTTGGGACCCAGAGATAACTGATCATGACCAGCTGTAACACGTGTCAATAATAATACCGGGGATAGAAGCCAGAGCCAATTTTTTGTTTGTTTTGCTAATCCTCATCCGAGGATATTTTTTTTTCTACTGATATTTATTTATTTATTTACTTGTTTGTTTGTTTGTTTGTTTATTTTAATTTGGTGATATGGGAGGGCCAGGCGGGAGCCCACCTCTAGTGGAAGGACTGCCGCTAGGCTCAGGCCTTGCTATCCCTTTTATTGAGACTATGGGATACACCCATTACCCTTAAGCAGGTTTGGAATATACCCATAGCCCTTAGGCAGGTAATAAGTGGATTATCGTATCAGTAAAGATTTATATGATTAAAAGATGGAGAAGTTGCCTCAATTATCATTGTCTCAATTATAGGGAGTGGTTGGCTCTGATTTTTCAGTTTTTCTATTGATTTTTAGAGAAAGTGGAATGGAGGGAGTGAGAGAGAAAGAGACAGAAAGAGAGAGAAAGAGAGTGAGAGAGAGAGAGAGAGAGAGGCATCAATGTGAGAGAGACATATTTTTAAAATATATATATTTTATTGATTTTTTACAGAGAGGAAGAGAGAGGAATAGAGAGTTAGAAACATTGATGAGAGAGAGTCATCGATCAGCTGCCATACTGGGGATGTGCCCGCAATCAAAGCACATGCCCTAGACTGGAATCGAAACCAGGACCTTTCAGTCTGTAGGCTGACGCTCTTATTCACCGAGCCAAACCGGTTTTGGCAAGAGAGACATATTGATTGGTTGTCTCCCACATGTGTCCCAACTAGGGCTAGGGATCAAGCCTATAATCCAGGTTACATGCCCTTAACTGGGAATCAGACCCAAAACCCTTCAGTGTGTGAGCCAATGTTCTACTACTGAGTCACACAATCCAGGGTGAGGCCAGAGCCAATTTTGTTGAGAAAGCAAGAAAATACCTCTGTAATTGTTATTGACTTGTTATGTGATGAAATTGAGTTATACCATAACCATATTGTGATATGGTATAACACTAGCATTGTTGGTAGAATTTAACTACCTCATACAAATAAGTCATATGATAATATTAATAGTATTGATCAATTGTATTGGGAGGTTGATTTAAAGCCCCCTTACATATGATACCAATGGGAAATGACTGGCCTAAAGAAAAACTAGATTTAAACTAAATAGCAGCTAGCCGAGATCGGTTTGGCTCAATGGATAGAGCGTCGGCTTGGGGACTTATGGGTCCCGGGTTCGATTCCGGTCAAGGGCATGTACCTCGGTTGCAGGCATATCCCCAGTTGGGAGTGTGCAAGAGGCAGCTGATCGATGACTCTCTCTCATCGATCTAACTCTCTATCTCTCTCCCTTCCTCTCTGTACAAAATCAATAAAAATATATTTAAAAAATAATAATAATAAAAAAAAATAAACTAAATAGCAGCTAATTTATTCACTAATAGTATTGCATAACTTCATCATAAGTTACATATAGTGGTAGATCAATGGACAAACAAACTAGTACAGAAATACAAAAACACATGTAATAGCTTTATAGAATGGGTTAGTTGTTTCTTAAATCTATCCCTGCCCTAAACTGGCTCTTCCAAATGTTAGGCATAATTACACTGATACTCTGGCTGTATCTGTCATATAAAAACTATAATAAATGTAGATGCTTCAATAAATATCATTTTGCTGTAAGACAGCCTAGGTCAAGGATCAGGGAATGTAGTGAAGGATTAACTCATGTAGTGAAGGATTAACTCAGCAAGCAGGCTTAGAGTGCTCAAACCTGCACACTTTGAAGGTAGGCTCCTGGGAGATAACCTCTGAACGCTTGAGATGTACTGCCTATCTGAGTGTCATCTTATTCTTGGGACTTGGAGCCAGCGAGATAGTTTATGCTAACAGCGCTATATGTGGTGAATGCCTGCTTTTGCTCACTTGGTATCCTGGCCCACTCTACGTCATTGTA